AAGACAAGCAAAGAAAGGCAAAGTGCATTCTCACTGCCCAGGGCCCTCTCTGGCTCCCTCTTGCTGTTGGTGGTCCTTGGTCGTGGTAGGCATCCACAAGCTCTCTATTCAGAGGGCTCCTATAGGGTCTTTGGGGAGCCCTCTGAGATCTTCGGCACTGATGGTGTCCCAGAAAATGATGCTGCACTCTGACTTCTTCCAGTCCCCCCTCCCAACCATGACTTGGCCTCCAGTGGTGCACCTGTGTCCTCACTCCACCATCTTGCCTTGCCCTGCAGTTGATGTTCTGCTCAACAGGCAGTGACTCCATCCAATTCTTCTTGGAAGCTTCCTCCTAGGCACAGGAATGTATTTAGGTACTGACTGTTGAGAGAGCTGCCCTCTCTCACCCCATCTCCAGATGGGTCAAGCCAGCCCTATAACTCTGGACTTCTCCAGCTGAGAGGCTAGTGGTCTTTTCTGTCCCACTGCACACCCAGGGACTTGGGATGCCATCCTATCTCTAGAACCCTAGYTGCTGCTATTCTGGTRGCAMCTGGACAGAGTCCTGAGAATGTCTTTGATTGGGGAGCAGCCAACCAGGAGATAATATGCCATCTCCCCTCTCACAGACACCTCCACCCTCTGATTCTATCAGTTCTCTACCTGGCTGGAGGTGGCAGGCAAAAGAGAAGAGACCTCACCCCAWACACATGACCTCTGGTGTGCAATGGGCACCATCTAATCCTCATGGACCCAACTGTCCACACCCTGACTGGCTGCATTGGTGTCTGCACAGGAACCCATTCTGCCCTAAGTTCCCTGGGGAAGGGAGTGGCACTCTCACAGCCCTCTCTGCAGGCCCACACCTGCTGGCCCTCTGATCCTCTTAGGGAATCCCAGGATTGYGTTCTAYCATCCACCTGCTCCCGGTGCCCTGACCAGATCGGCTCTCCAGCAAGTTCTGCATGGATGCAGCCAGGACCTCTCTTCAGAAGTCACATTCTCTTTCTGACCTCACCCTATACTCATGTCTTAAGTATATACCAATTCTAGATCTCGACATATGAACTGGCTTCCTCAGGAGAGAATGAGCTCTGTATCACTGATGGTAATTAAACCTAATGAGAGTTACCATAGTAAGGAGGGGGTCAGAGRTGGATGAAAACGAGAGAGGATTCAGCATTCTCTGAGTTACATGAATCTCTACCTTCAGTTCGTCAAATGTGTTTTATTTTCTGTACTGAACAGCATCTTCACCGTCTTTTCCAATATTTATGGATAATCAGAGAGGCAGAAGAGTGAGTTTCAACTCTATCATGCACTATGTRCCCCCCTTTCCACAGGAGAAGCCTGGGCATTCAGAATGCAGCTTTCTTTGTGGCAGGGCATGTAGAATACAGTCCAGCACATGGATTACATCTCAAACACATCCTGCTCATCACTCACTTCTCTGTCAACAGTACTGCCAGGACTCCCACTGCCTGAGCCTTCACAGAAAAACTTTTACTGATCCCTGTTCTAGTTCTGTACTTTTTGATATTTACAACTGGCAACACAAGAGTATAGATACCCTAGGTGTAAAAGTCCAAGCAAAACACATTTCGTGCAAACTGATCACATATTCWTAGACTCCTACAATGTCTCAGCTTCTGAAAGAAAACATTCCAAAGATGAATTCTTCAATACTAATCCGAAATGTCACATATTTAGTTGATTTTTACCACGAAAGGGAACATTTTGCATAGCCATGCATCAGGTAATTTGAAGGTACTTASAGGAAGTAATAGTGCCATGAACACAGCAATGTATAAAACCTGCAAACAAGAAGGAGTAATAGAGAACACACAGACACCATACGGGTTAGCACTACCAGATAACCAGTGGCTTTGTTTCCTTTTCAATTTCTTATAATATAATCACCTTGTTTTTACTGAAAAAGTTTTGTATAGTTGTGAAAAGAATGCTGCAGTTTTTTTTTATTTTGTAGCCAATTTATTTATAGTATTCTCTTTTTTTTATTTTATTCATTTAATTTTTTTTTACCAGATTTTTAATTTATTTTTTTAATGTTGGTTGTTCAAAACATTACATAGTTCTTGATATATCATATTTCACATTTATACCATAACAGTAAATACTTTTTCTGTGAAACAAGAAGAGAATTTATCTCAGGGAAAACTTTCTTTTACTATATATATATATATATCTCCTTGCAATGTTTTGACTCATGTGGAATATTTTGGTTAAAAGTATACAGTAAAAATATACATGAGGGCTGGGTTGGTGGCTCAGAGGGACAGCGCTCACCTAGCATGCGTGAGGCACTGGGTTTGATCCTCAACTCCATTTAAAATAGAATGAAGATATTTTGCCACCTATTACTCAAATTATAATATTAAAAAATATATACATGAGATTATTACATCAAATTAAATCCCATATTATATATAACTATAATGCATTAATAAAAACACTAACAAGCCTTATATACCCGTACTGTCTCAGATAGAGCTGAGCTGAGGCTGAAGGATGCACTGAAGGAATATGGAAGATATTTAACACTCCATATGTGACACCTACCAATCTAAATGCTCTTCAGCTGTCAACAAGTATACCCTTACAGGTGTGTATGTCTCCCAATATCAGTGGAGACTGGTTCTGTCCTCAGCTAGCAAGTGACACTAAGAATGACTGGTGGGGGCGCTGGCTGGACAAGCTGGCTCCCAAAGAGAAAGGAACCCACACCCAGGTTCTCCATCCAGCTTAACAATCAGATAAGACATTTCACCTCTCAAAGGGAGGCACCAGAGAGGGAGTAGAGAGAAACCAGGAGTGTTACTCTCATCACAAATAGTGAAGGAAGGAAACACCATGAAGAGAAGATTCCTCCAGTGTAACAGAAAAAAAATGTGAAACTATTCAAAGTTGTACTATGTGCTTTTAAAGAAAACTTCCAAGTTGCTATGACAGATACCAGTTAGGGGAAGAACCTATACATATTTCTGTTATTTTTCAAGGTGAGAATAGAGTTCCTTACTACCTGCCTATTRATCCATCTGTCCACCCTTCTTCACGAAAATTTATATGTATACAATAGAAACACAGAAGCTTAAGAAATATAACTGCAATTTTGGAAGTTAGTTATCTTCATATTGCCTGCTGAATGAAGAGCACCATTGAAACATGATATAAGAATTAAGCTAAGCTACATTACAAAGGTCTTTTAATGTTTAATAAAAATGGAGGACTTTTCCAACTGGCTACAAATTTATGTTCAAGATCAAGGATTAAAATAATCCACTGTCTTACATATTATTGCAAATAATCACTTAAGATTTTGTACTGTTTGCTTACTCCGTTGTTTCTCTGTTGGGAACTTTTCTCATGGAGAAAGCCACCATCGCTCTGAAGAGATATTCTTCATTTGTATCCCAGACATACTGAAAGAGAAGGAAAGAGAGGTATGGGGTTAAAAACGGTCCATTATGGGGCTGAGGCTGTAACTCAGTGGTAAGCACTTGCTTCGCATGTCTGAGGCACTGGGTTCCATCCTCAGCACCACATAAAAATAAGTAAAGATAATATGTGTTTATCTATAACTAAAAAATATTTTAAAAAAACACTCCATTAGATGCTACACTCATTCTCATAGTCTCCACACTCCCACCCCATCTACTTTGTACACAAAAAACTGGAGAACATGATAAATCATGTACCATAGCATCTGGAGTAGGGCTTTTGGGACATTCCATAATTCCAAGTTTGATGTGTTTCCTGTTGTGCTCTTTCTTAGAAACTGCCATATTAGTAGCCAGTCAGTCAATAAGGCATTTGGACAAATCATCCTGGCCATATACTATAAGAGTTTAAAAATAGTCAAATGGTTCATAGCATAGCCCTAGCTTTTAATAATGTATTTGGTTCCAAAATTAGTTTTACTCAGAATAACTATAGTCCAATCTAATAAGATCAAGACATAAAGAAGAAACTAGTCYAGTTATAGACAGCACACAAACACTATTCAAAAAGGGATGCACTGTTTTCAGATTGGGGAGATGGGGAATAAGTCTGTTCAACTATAGGAGAATGATAATCCAGTATAGCAAATAACAATGAAAGATGCTAACCAGACCTTGCCAGGGCATGAATTTAAATTGCTTTTCAGATCTAGGAGATGATCTGACTTGATCTCCAGTCCTTTCATTGGTTCCCCTTAAAAACAAGARYATGATTTGCCTCAGTAGGAGTCCCRTTGGGGTCACAGAGCAAAGCCCCAAACTACGTGGAACAGTACAGGATTGACCAGATCCACATCAAGGTGGATATCCTGCAACCCTCACCAGTTGATCTTGAGTAAGGRTGGAAGGATTGAAAGCGAGTGCACTGGAGGTTACATATTTCCACAAAGGCATTCAAAATGTTTCACTGAGTCTCTACATAGAAAAGGAATCAAGCACATGTACCACATAAGAAGAAAATGGACAACTTAAGAGAGGATAAGAAAAGAGGTGCCAATTTAAAGACAGGAATAATTTCTAACCCAAAGTTCTACTCCTGGCTAAACAGTCTTGCAAAAAGAAAGCTTGTGGAAAAGATATATACAAAAATGTTCACAGCAGCTTAAGTACCTGTTGCACATACTACTTGATGCATAACAGGTGCTCAAAAAGTGTGTGAAACTGAAAACATCTTTACATACCACATGTGACTCCAAGACCACATGGAGCATATGAGATGTATTTATTCATCCATCAGTTCAGATTCCTTGGTTCCTCACTTCAATAACATTTATGCCAAGGCCCTAATGTCCCAGCTCACCTTGCTTTCTGCATACATCTCAGGACCCTCAAACCCAGGCCAACCCCAAATTTTAGGTGAGTAATACAACATAATTGGAGAAAATCACAAAACAGGGACTATTGGCTTAACTCTAAATTCATAATGACCTACCCCCAAATTGCCTGGGAATCCCTTAGGTTTCCTCTCTCTCTCTCTCTCTGATGGCTCACAGGACTATTTTAACCTCCTATAGGTYTGCTGACTTATTATGCTTTCCTTCACACCTCACTTTCACTAGACACTGTTGCTTTATAATTTACAGATACATCTCAAGTCATCAACTTGAACTCCCTCATCCTCTTGACACCAAGATACAAAACTTCGTCCATAGAAGCACACCCTGTCCATCTTCTCTCTTGAAGGGCCAGACATGCGGTGCCTCTCCTATCAATGGCTATTCCCCCTACCTCTTTTAGGAATGGCTTTCCTGGCCCTTCTGATCATATAAACAATATCAGTTTTCCTCCCTCTTCTGTGKATTCAAATCTACCTGCAGCCTGTCCACTGCTCAAACTTTTCCCTTTGAGACAACAGTACAAATAAATCACTTCACTCACTCTTCCTTTCATTCATGCACCATCTCTCTCCTACTCTTCATAGTCAAAAGGCTCAAAGCAGTTGTCCATACTTCTGTTTACACATGTTCACCACCCATTTATATTTCATGCCACCTACTACACTCCCTCTAATATCTGCCTTCTGGCTGTCAATCCACAAAAGARGCTCTCTCTAAAGTGACCACTGACCTCCACATTGCTTAACACAACAAGCGTGTGTCAGCGTTCATGTTGCTTAGCCTCCCAACAGYATTTGAGGCTCTCAAGCACTTCTTTCATGTTCAAGCAAAACTCTTTCATGCAGCAGCCTGCATACTCCTGGGCCCAGTCCCTTTCTGAAACTAGAAACGTGATGACATGCCCCTTTGCTTTTTACTGCCCCACTTCCAGACACCTTAGCCTTCCTTCCATCCCTCATTCTTAGCAAGCTCCTTCACATATGCTGTTCCCTGTGTCATTCCTTCTTTCATCCATAGTTCACTTCAACTCATGGACCTTATAACAGAAGGGCCAGATACTAAGGATCCTGATGAGGCCAAATCTTGTAATATTGTCAAGATTGCACATTTGCTTTTCTTTACTACATCTTTAATGGATGACTGATTCTCCCACTACCATAATCCCCATAGGGCAGGKACAAGTCTGATTTTAGGGTCAATGCATCTCCACCACCCAGCATGGCACCCACTCTAAGGATCTTAGGATGAGAAGTCCTATACACTGGGTTAGGGGAAAGGGTATAGAGTGGATTCTGCTGTCAGTCTGCCTGGATTCAGATCTGACCTCTATCACTTGGTGGCTTAAGGTCCTGAAAGGGTCACTTCATTTCCTTGCATCTCAGTTTTCTTACCCATCCAATGAAAATAAGAGTACCTATACSAMTTTCCTTAAAAGGTTGTTGTTAAGRGCTAYATKAGCTGATAGCAGTCAAGTGCTTAGAAGGCTCCCTGCTGAAAAGTAAATTAAGTTTGCAGTCAATTCTGGGTGTTATTTGCAATTATAATTCACAAAGTAAATAATACAATGATATGTTGGTGGACTGTCCTGTAATAGAATWCCTGAAAATTCTTTTAGCACATTTTTTTGGGGGGGTTTCTAGTTGGAGGCCTCTTAATGACACCTGTGGGGGRAGTAATTTGCACATCACTCTGGGAAGCTGACACTGAAATTTGATAATAACTGACTTATTAATTCAAGTCTCTTTACTGTTTCTATATCCACAGAGGCCCTATGAGTATTTCTAAGCTTTGGTTTCAAAAGTATATGACATAGTGTCAGTTTGGTAGTTCTAAAGAATTTAAACTTTACATTAGAATTTGAATTCTTGTGCTATGAAAGGCTTTCTGTATTTAGTAGCATTCCTTCTTTTCCATGACTAGAAAACAAGCTGCCCAGATTCCAAGGACTACAACAATGAGGGGCAGATCCAACCCAGACCCTCAGTCTCCTTTGCTCCACAATGCTGGATTAAGCGGTTCAAGTTCTCTAAATTGGTGTCATACAAAACTTCAATGTCTTCCTGCATACACTACAGATAAAGAACCTCAGGCAAGCCTATTGTAAACAATTTCTATTTTAGGATACTCTACCTTTATATTTAGAAAAGATCAGACTTCAAGTCTTTAGAAATGATATATTATCATTACTATGTAGACAGAGGCCCATCATCAGAGAAAGCAAGCACAGTTCTTAGGTAACAAAATTCAAAATGAACATGCAGGTGTTCCACTTACTGCTTTATCACCAAGAGCTCTTCTGATACTAAGTCTCACTTTAAAGGCGTTTTCTGCATCTGCCAGAAAAGAAAAAGAAACAACAGTATATGATAATAAAATCTGCCCAAACATAGCCTAATTAATCCTAATATTTAATGAACTAAAAGCAACAGAAAACAGAACTACAAGGAAACTGTCCCTAAACAYCCCTGAAAGTTGGATGGCAAGGACCTTAGGTGGTTTACATTTTCTTTCAAACTCATAAAACAGTCACAGGCTAAACTTAAAAGCCACAATATGCCTGCAGATTTAGAAAAATAAAGATTTCTTTCAGTCAATGACTTGGTAAGCTATTGTTAGGTTTCAAGGCTACATACCTGGTTGACAGAGTTCAGCATGAATAACAGTCACTAGAAAAAAGAGGAGCCACAACATTCTTCTGGAGTGGAAAACACAAGGCAAACTGAGAAAAAAAAATCCACCCTCCACTTAAAGCTGCCTTAGCCATTCTGTGACCGGATTAGAATATCAGAGAAATCAGTGAGCCACCATCTAAAAGGTTTAATAATTAACACCCATACACTTGGGTTAATACTGCAATAGAAGTGGCCCATCTCCTGTCAGTTATTTACAAAAATCTGTTTGAAAAACAGATTAGTTGTTTTTCCCAAACTCTACCTCAGAAGAATGTTTCCTCTGCTGACAGAATGGGGATCCGCCCCCCACCCCACCCCTTCTGCAGCCGCCTGGTTAAGTGCACAGTGGAAGGAAGGGAGTCCTCAATGGAGGTTTTCCTTGGCATGAACTTTCCACCTTGTCAGGGCTAAACTACCTGGTTCACAGATAGGCTCTTTGAATTTGGGAAGCAAATATCACTCCTTTCTATCTCTGGGGAACAAAGGATGCACTTCCCTGAGTGTCCTCTTCTGACTCTTACCTTGGCAGGTAAACATCCCAGGACAGCTTCCTGGGATGGTTTTGTTTGGCCCTAGGGTTTGGCCATTATTGAAAATCCAAGTTAGTGATATGGAGCGGTGCTGCCCAATGGACCATTCTGCTTCTTTGTTTTGTTTCTGTGACACTGGAGATGGAACCCAGGCTTTCCACATGCTAGCTAAGCGCTCTACCACTGAGCTGCATCCTAGCCCTAAATGAAATACCATTTGATGATGGAAATGYGCTGTGCTTGTGCTACCCAGTATGTAGCCCCTAGACATAGGTGGCTGTAGAGTAGTCGAAATGGGGCTGGTGCTGCTGAGAAGCTGAACTTTTTGTTTAGTAGCATTTAATATAGTTTAGCCACAGTAGCTAGTGACTGCATTGGTCACAGCTACACAACTGTGACCTASAGCTACCTACCATGAACTAGRCTCACTGGATTATTCTGCTAAGCCTCAAAACAACACCTCAGTTATTATAATCACCTGACCTGTGAGAGAACCAAGGATCTGGTGTCCAAATTGGCAGCAATGCCTTGAGTGGAACAGGTTTACTGCCTAGGCTGACTACAATGGAACCCAGGTCCACCACACAGAGTGTCTCGTCCCCATAAATCCAAACGGAAATTGCAACAAAACCTCAATGGAATTTTACTGAACCATGAAGAATGAAATTATAGCATTCGCTGGTAAACTGATGGAACTAGAGAACATCACGCTAAGTGAAATAAGCCAGACTTAGAAAGCAAGGGTCAAATGTTTTCTCTCAGATGCAGAAGGTAGACCAAAATAAGATAAGGGGGGGGGGGAGTGAGGGAAATTCTATGAAAATAGAAGGGAGATCAGTGGAGCAAAGAGGACTGAGGGGGAAGCAAAAGGGATGGGAAAGGAGAACTGTGGGAAGAAACTGGCCAAACTATGCTATGTACATATAGAAAGTTAATTTCACCTTTATGTATATCTATAACACACTAATTAAAAACTTTTGAAAATTCCTTAGGCATCTTACTGACACCAATAGAAGTCCCCAGGCCCATGTCAGAGCTTTCCTCTCCCAAGTTGCCTCTTCATGAATTCAGTCCCCAGATTCCACCTCTTTCCTCAAAAATCATGAATGGAAAGTTTAGATTGGGTGCCCTTATGTTAAAGAGGAAATCAAGATTTTAAAAGCAACAATGAGGAAAAGATCAAAAATGGCACTTCTGCAGCATTTTAGAGACACATTGTTTCCCTTTCCTAGGAGGGGTGAAATTTTGTTGGAGATGACTCCTTTCTCTTAGTGTAATTCACCTGAAGGAGCTCTTTCTCACCCCCTTTGCTTTGGCTGCAAGGACAGAGTCAGAAAAGCTGTACCACAGGGAGGGGCTGCCCAGAGTTGGCCCAGCCAGTGTGGCAATTTCACTGTGACCTGTAGTGGAAATTTCCTAGAAGAGCTCACTTAACTATTCCCGGGGGAAAAAAAGGCAGAATAAATGAAGTTATCTGGGGGAGGAAAAGTCAATACACATAGAGTTAGAGATTAYAACAAAGTATTTTATTTGTAGAGTGCTTGCCTACCATGGGTGGGGTAGGTCTTTAGTTCCACCCCAATTCTGGAAAAAAGGAAAGAAAAAMCAAGATATATCATGTAATAAAGGTATCCTTTTATTTCTAATTATCAAAAATTATTTTAATCAGTTATTTATATTCCATTTATCAACTAGCTTTTTATTATCTATAATTACTATCATAGTGTTTTTCCCATTTGGTGCATTATATTGATAAACTTCTTTATATTTATTCAACATTTAAATTGGATTTTAAAATTTATTTTTAGCATGCTGTTGGGATTGTTTGCTGGATTTTCCGTTAAGATTTTAAAATACGTATTTAGACGAATATCATGTGGGTTCAAGTACTGATTGTTAAGTGTTCCCCTTTCCAGGTCCTCACACTATCACCTTGAAAATGATGTAGAAAGATTTCTAAAACTGTCCATGTTTAGAAATATTTACAATGCATAAAAATGAAGAATTTTGGACCATGCACATTATAGAGGAAGTCTTCTTAGAAATTTTTAATTTCTTACATGATCATTTATTTCAGGAATTTTTGGTTTGGTTTGGTTTTCTTCCTGGAGGTGCTAGGGATTAAACCCAAGGCCTCATGCTTGCTAGGCAAACACTCTACCACTGAGCTACATTCCCTAGCCCTGAGTATTTACAATTTCTAAGAAATTATTCATTTTGTTAAGGTATTACAGTATTCTCATGGACTTCCTGAAATATTTCCCATGAAATACCTACATTTGTTGCTATGGTCAGTTTATGTTTTCTAGTGTGTATATTAATATTTCACATTTTCCATTAAACTTGCTAGAGGTTTATATATCTATGTTGCAGTTTATTCAAAGAACAAGATTATGGATCTAGTTTTCAATTCTGTTCTGGTTTTCTGACTCATCATCTTGTGTACATTTCTTAAGTTCTTCCTTCTGTGGTCATTTCACTTCTTATTTTTCTAACCTTTGAATTAGTAGGCACATTTATCTTTTACTCCTCAGTTAACAATTGCAATATCCAAGGTTTTGAATTTTCTTTGGTCTCCTATTCTGGCCATATGACAAGGCACACAGATGTAAAGTGATCTCATTCTTATTTTCTAAATAGTTTACAATTACAATTTCCATTTTTTTTCTGTATCATAGTAATTGCCAAGAAAAGTGTTTCCTACCAGGAAAAAAAATAACAACAACAAAAAAAACCCTGTAGACCAAAATGGAACCATTCATAATATAGGCTTTTATAGGTCCTGCCACATGAATGGAAAGACAAAAGCTCAAATGACAAACATATGCTACCAATTACTTAACTTTAAATATGAAAATGCCACACAGTTACTTGTGACATGGAAGTAAGTAAAAGTAAATTCATTGTTATGTAACTTGAGGAGATTTCAATAAAATAGATGGAAAACAGAGCTAGATATCAGGACTTTTGCTTCTCAACATACTATCTTAATTTTCTTTTTCACAAAGCACACATTTAGTGTCTGTTTTGATGTAGAATTTGTTTTTTCAGTACTGGGGAGTGAACTCTGGGCCTCATGAATGCTAGGTAGGGGGCTCTACCACTGAGGTACACCTCCCAATCCTTTTGAATTTTGAGACAGCCGTCTCACTAAATTGCCCAGGCTGACCTTGAACTTGTGATCCTACTGTCTGAGCCTCTGGAGTCACTGGGATTACAAGCATCACCTGAAGTGAAGCATAAATTTTAAATAGCAAATTTCCTGAGTATTTTTATTTGTGTAACTCAGTTTATAAACTGTTCCTTTCAGCAATCTCACATGAGAGCCTAATAACTTATTAGCAACCATGGCAATCTTGACAAATGAGGCAGTTTCATTCTGAATATGTTACTATTTATTTCTAAATGTTTTAGACAGTAGAGATTAAGAGTTTAGATTACCATTGCCATGAACAACCCAAAAGGCCACCCAGTCTCCTGAGACAGGAAAAAGAAATTAATTTCTCTGTTTTTTATACTCCACAACACCACTGCAAAGAAGTTTCTAGGTACATAAGTATTGATCTACTGTACATAACTATTGATCTACAACCTCTACAGACTTTTGACTCATGTAAGATGCATTATTGGTGTCATGGTTCCTGTACCCATTGTCCCCTCATTGCAGCCCCTCAACATGGCTCTGAACTTATGACTCACCTTACCCACTTTTCCCTGATGAGGACCCTGAAGCTCAGAGTACTTTTAAAAAATATTTTTCTTTCATATTTCCTTGTTTCTTCTTACAAAACATACTGTTCTGCTACTGTCCCCTGGGAACTTTCATGGTATTTTATAGAATGGATGCTGCCATTATTCACTAATAAATGCAAATTAGATCTATAACTAAATTTGTGATAATTTTGTTCTAGATAGTTCTGAGTTTTCTCATGGTTTGGGCAAGTCATGGTGTCTTTCCAGGCTAAAATTATAACAGACATGCTCTCTGGTGTAGTATAATCCATCCTTAATATTCTATTTTGCTGCCAGCTGGAGGTCACCCAGTCACGTTTAATACTGTCTACAGGTACTTCCCTTGCCAACCTCTACAGAGGTAGAGGAAGGTCACCTGGCCATGTAACTTTTAGGCTGTATGTTCTTATTTTCATAACAGAATTTTAAACTGCTCTAATTCTGGTTGATATATAAGACATAGGAATCAATCTCTCAAAGTTTCCACTCCAGGGTTTTAGTGAGCAAAAATGACCTGATTTTCATTAAAAGCCTCATCATGAAAAATGTTTTGTGGACTGCATAAAAGATGTGCACACAAAACCCTTATTACTGAAATCAGAGATTCTAGAAATGCTGTTGTTTGCAGACACTTACCCATCCTGTGCCCACAAAGACCTTATTAATCTGTTACAAGACTTTATCCTTCTGAG